CCAGTATAAAGTGTCACATGATCTTCAGAAATCAGTATAATATGCTGATTTGTTATCAATGCTGGAAGCTGTTGTGATGCTTAATATTTGTTTGGAAGCTGTGATACTTTTTTCAGGATTCTTTGATGAATAAAAAGTTAAAAAGAAGAGCATTTATTTACAATAAATATCACACACAATATCCACTACAGTTCAAAAGTTTTGGGTCGGTACATTTTTATTCTTTCTTTTTTTGAAAGAAATTAAAACTTGTTTTTGGAAGCTTGTGATACTTTTTTCAGGATTCTTTGATGAATAAAAAGTTAAAAAGAAGAGCATTTATTTACAATAAATATCACACACAATATCCACTACAGTTCAAAAGTTTTGGGTCGGTACATTTTTATTCTTTCTTTTTTTGAAAGAAATTAAAACTTGTATTCAGCAAGGATGTGTTAGATTGATAAGAAGTGATAGCAAAGATTTATATTGTTAGAAAATATTTATATTTTGAATAAATGTTGTTCTTTTTAACTTTTTATTCATCAAAGAATCCTGAAAAAAAGCATCGTATATTGTTAGAAAAGATTTATATTTTGAATAAATGCTGTTCTTTTTCACTTTTTATTCATCAAAGAATCCTGAAAAAAGAATCGCAGTTTCCCAAAAAATATTTGGCAGCACAACATTAATAATTCTAATAATAAATCAGCATATTAGAATGATTTCTGAAGATCATGTGACACTTTATACTGGAGTAATGATGATGGAAATTCAGCTTTGCATCACAGGAATAAATTATATTTTAAAGGATATTAAAATAGAAACCATTATTTTATATTGTAATAACATTTTGCAAGATTACTGTTTTTTTCTGTATTTTTGATCAAATAAACGCAGCCTTGATGAGCAGAAGAGACTTCTTGAAAAAACACATTACAAGTCTTACTGATCCCAAACTTTTGAGCGGTAGTGTATATATTATTATTATTATTGTTAAGAAAAATAAATCACAAAAACAATTAAAAGCGATTAAAAAAATGTATAAAAGCAATAAAAAAACAAGTATGATGAAAGCTACAATAAGAGTAAAAAAAATAAACAAGGAAATAAAAAAACTGTACTGTAAAAATAGTATTTATACAAAAGTTTAATTTCTTTAAAAATGTGAACTTACACATTTATAAATTTAGGATGCACAACATATCAGCATTGGCTGATATCAGTGTTTTTTTAATTATTATATCATCTGATTCAAATTGTTTTTTTTTCTAATTCACACAATTTCTCTCAGGTCACAGACATACCAAATACTTACCAATATTTTCTGCTAATAATATATAAATATATATTAAAAATAACAAAACAAATAAATAAATGTAAAAAAAAGTTAAGGATCCTTATTTTATTGTTATTATTTATAAGGTAAAATATATAAACATTAAGAAAAAAAATCTTAAAAGCGATTAAAAGCAATAAAAAAAGACAAAGTATGATTAAAAGCTGCAGCAAAAATGTAATATAGTTTAAAATAAATAAATAAAAAGGGAATAAAATAAAAAAAAAAAATATACTGTAAGAATAAAATTTATACAAAACCATGAACATTTAAAATATACATGAATTGACACATTTATATATATATATATATATAATAACAAATAAATAAAGTTATTATTGTTATTTAAAGGGCATAATATAAAAACATTAAGAAAAATAAATAAAAAACTACTACAATAAAAAAGGAAATAAAATAAACAAAAAAACGTACATTATATGAAACTGTATATTTAAAATATTAACATAACACAAATATAAGTACTGAATATCACTGCATCGTGTGATATAAAATTAAAAGTAAATAATATTAAACCTAATTCATGAGTTAAATGCATCAGGAGTTTCTGTGTGTGAGCGCCACCTGCTGCGAGTCTGTATGTACTGATGGCTGTAAGTTGTGTTGTGGTTCTGAGACTCACGCTGTCCTGTAGCGTGTGGGTCAGGCTCTCAGAGGTCGAAAGGTCAGCGGGGGGGTGAGACAGGTGCGGCCCCTGAACGAACTCACTCACTGATGATGATGATGCTGCAGCGTTGCCATGGGGATAGTCACCAAACTTACTGTGGCCCTGGAAACTGTTGCCTGGGAAACAGAGGTCACATAAGAACGTGTACATTTGTATTTCCGTACAGTGTCCATGATGAGTGATCTGAGAAGGGTGTTTCTGGGTAATATGACTGTACCTGGACTTTTGTACTGGTTAGTGCTGCTGTTCTGCTGCTGGAGGTTCTGGTTGGGGTACGGAGACGCTCCCAGGCCGAGCTGAGAGATCATGTCCATCACATTGGGCAGCACCATCTGACTGGGACTCGTGGTTTTGAAGCGCTTGGACATCAACCCGTCCGGATCTTCCTTTATGTGCGGCTCAGATTTGATCTGGACCGGCCTCCAGCTGCACGACGGGTCTATCGTGACCTCCTCAAACTCTGAGCTGCAACGACAGCACGTAGATCTGTGATCGGTCCGGTGCAAAACACCTAAACCAGCTGCCCTGGCTCGTTTCTGACTTTCAAAACCTCCAAAGTGAGCGCTAAATTTTGCGCTCTTTTAAGCCGACTTACTTCTGGAGAGCGTTCAAAATCCCCCACATGTACTGATCCACCTCCAGACCTTCTAACAGAGCCGCTTTACTGAAGAAGACAAACAGAAGATCAGTTCTGCATCACTCAAGCATCTCAGTCGTGATCTGAGGAGTGACTGGAGGATCTTACTTGCACACCGGACATCTCCATGAGCCCCGCTCACAGTTCAGCTCTAGATAGGACTCCAGGTCAAAGCACTGCAAGAGAACATTACCTCAACATTAACACAACGTTTAGAGAACATTATCACACTCATATGTACATTTAAAGATGTTTTGATGCCAAATATGATTATGCCATTCCCTTTTCAATACTTTGTTACATTAAAATTAATACTTTTAATCAGATAAGATGCATTAAATTGATCAAATGCGGCAGTAAAGACATTTATAACGTTGCAAAAGATTTCTATTTCAAATAAATGCTGTTCTTTTGAGCTTTCTATTCATCTGTGAATCCTGAAAAATAAAATGTATCACAGTTTCCACAAAAATATTGTGCAGCACGACTGTTTTCAACATTGATAATAATCAGAAATGTTTCTTGAGCAGCAAATCAGCATATTAGAATGATTTCTGAAGATCATGTGACACTGAAGACTGGAGTAATGATGCTGAAAATACAGCTGTGCATCACAGAAATAAATTACATTTTACTATATATTCACATAGAATATAGTTATTTGAAAGTGTAATAATATTTCACAATATTATTGTTTTTACTGTGTTTTTGATAAAATAAATGCAGCCTTGGTGAGCAAAGACTCATTTATACCGAGTGAGAAAAAATGTAAAATTATAAAGACATTTTTGCTAATTTAAAAAAAAATATTTTATACTTTACTGAAGGCAAAGCAAATGATTTAAAATATATATTTTTATATAATATGTAAAATCCAGACTTTGCATTAAGTATTGTATTGGTGTCTTTTTCTACCCTCTTTAAGACTAATTCTAGAAATATTTTAAATTCAATTAACATTTATTTGTAGTGATCTTCACTACAAATATCATTCACAAGCAGATTTACCAAAAAAATAAATTTTGTAAAAAACAATTGTGGCTTCTGCATTTGATGCCAAAGCAAGCATTTAAGCCGTTTAAAAGATTTCCGGACCTGCATGTGTTTGCAGTCATAGCCTCTCGCCGGCAGCTGGATGCGCCTGAACGTGATTGGACACTTTAGAGAGATTCTGATGGACGTTTGCTCCACCCCATCATCACCGACAGACACAGCCACACTACTGAAGCTCCTCTTCACTGAGAGACAGAGAATGAAGGCTCATGAATGCAAAATGAATCACAGAGACTGACCAACAGAAGACAGACAGACAGACTGAAGCGATACCTTTAGTGATGCAGTGTTCGGTGCTGAGGAGTCTCTTCCTCAGTAAACCCTGCAGCACCGATCGAACCGACGGCCGGTGAACCAGCAGAAGGACAAACAGGTGCGACTGCAGAGAAAACACATCGCAAGTGCTCACGCAACATTCACCAGACGAGCACAACAGGACGAGTGTGTGTGTGTAACTCACACAGCAGCAGGCCGTCACGGTGATCTGGATGGTGTTTCGGCCCGGCTGGCACACGTGTTTCAGGTGCAGGGGTTTGTGGGAAGTCTTGTTGTCGCCGCGCTCGATGCTGAGCGGTGTGGCGTTGACGCTGACCAGCACCGACGCCGGCCAGTTCGTGTACATCTGTCTGTCTTCATGATGATAACACTTGAACTGAAGCTCCAGATCAGACCTGAGACGCAAACACACGCGGATGTGAACAGGAAGCCTTTGTATTTTTATACACGTGTGTGTGTGTGTATGTGGGCTGGGAATAAACCACCTGATTCGATATTACAATATTTAGCTGCCAGATTCAATATGTACTGCAAGTAAAAATAAATAAATAAATAAATTCAATTAGCATTTTACACATATTGACATCATATTGACGATGTCCAGGATGTTGATTTCTGTTTAACTACTTTAAATATTTAATCATAAAAAAAGTAATTATAACTATAATTTATACTGTAAAATAATTTACACTGTAATAATTACATCGTAATAATAAAAGCTAAATAAAATATATTTAAACAAAGTATATAAATAAAATAAAAATAAAAATTACAATGAAATAATTAAAAAAATGTATAATAAATTTAAACAATGTGTGTAGTCCAGTATTACGGTTACTGTTTAATTGCATCAATCATTTTATCATCATTTTATACGAATTCATTATAATAAATTACTATAAATTTTATTCTTGTGATAAAATAATAAAAACATTTAGAATAAATTAAAACAGTGGTGTCACGGATGAGCCAGGCTCGCTCACCTCCCAATCACAACGTGCACCTTCCCCGGAATTCTAACTGGACACACCTGCTCATCATCACTAATCACCTCTCCATATAAACGCACACCTCACCTCCGCTCAGCGTCTGATCTCACATTGAGCAACGGACTCATTCCTATTCTCCCTTGCGCTAGTCATCGACTCCCGGACTTTTCGTCTCCTACCTTCCTGGATTCCTCTCCTCTTCTCAGCGTCCCCGATCTCCCAACCTGCAAGGTTCAGGACAGTATTATTACTATCTCTCTTTCGATCTCTACAACCCATCGCTGCTTTGCTCATCTGTTTGCTCATTCACTCCCTGCTGTTAATAAACGGTTTACACTGACCATCATCTCTCTGAGTCGTTCTGTTACAGAAGATCAGACC